TATATGGTAATTTGCTATAATACAAATATAATGAAGCTATTTTTCTTAGAGTACAACACCGCTTATGCCACTGAGCTACATACCCGACAGACAACCTCCTTCTTAAACACCAGGCTCTGCCTAGAAGGACCAGCCATCCAAATAACCACATGCTCCTCCTTAAACTCGGCCACCTGTCTACCAGAAAAGGAGGAGACTAGGACTGAAAGACAAGACTGCAGCAGGTGACCACCCAGGGAGGACCTGACCCTTCCTGACCCTCTTCTTTGCTGGCAGCTCCTTCCTGGAAAATGGGGCAAGGAAGGCAGGGTACCGAGTAATGACTGCAAGAGACACTTGGAAGTTCCTCACTCACCCCTGGGACTAGCGAAACTCACAGCCCTGACCAGGGGCTTTGCAACTTAGGGAAGGACTGGATCAATATTTAAGTTAAGATCGCTGTAATGCTGACTTCTCTGAGTTTACTGAGGAGAAAGATTTGTGTAGACACTGTTGGGACAATTGAATGCAGATGTCCTGTGCTCTGCATGAATGGCTTAGGGATGACAGTGCCCAGTGTGTGTACCACTGTTGCCCCCAGATTAACATGTTTTCAATTTTTTCCTCATTGAAATAAAATGACTTTGAAAAAATAAAAGTCGATATTTATAGTGATTCAAACCATGCTTTCTTAGTGTTGCATGCTCGTGTAGTCACATGGAAAGACAGGAGTTGTCTTGTTGTACTCTAAGAAAGTACCTTCATTATTTTGTGTATTATAGCAAACCTGCAACGTGGCTTACTAAATGTGTTTTTTTTAAATCCTTTTTTCCCTAACTGATATGTTAAGTGACCTAATTGATATGTTGAGCAATACTCTCCTCTGTAAAGAATTACAAGAATCTCACCTAATTGATATGTTAACCATTGTTGCCCTCTACAAACTACAGAAGTTGTGCTAAAACAAGCTAACAAGGGTTGTTAATCACTGTTAGGCGCCTCTATTCTCCACTAAAGAGCTAAAGAAAACTAGGATGGCCCACTAATTTACACTTGTTTGAAATAACTTGCTTGTGTGCAGAGAGATTTGTGTATGAGTTTAACCCTTTACCTGACCTTGACACATAACCGCCGTTTTCTGTTCTGTATGGCACCTTATTGCCTCCCTCTCCCCTCACCTATCTATCTAGGCCATAAAGAATTTGTTTCTGGTGACCTCTTCCCGACCCGGTGATGATCTGTCATAAAATGAGCCTGCCCCAATTTTAAGAACTGTTTAGCTTCAAAGAAATCACCGGGAAATACTATGGCCCAAACCCCAATCGGTGCTTTCCTTTTGTTCTGTATGCATCAAATGAGTTAGATATCAGATCTTTGTAAAACTTAAGTTTCAGCTTCTTGTAACTCTTGACCCCTTTGCACACACTAGCGAAAATGAGCTGTCCTGGGATAATTAACTCTCCACTTTCTTCTCCAAATATTGCTGCAGATGTGCCACTCTGAGATAATGTCAGTCTGTAGGATGGGAGTAATTTGAGAAACACCAGGAACTCCCAAGATTGTCAGAGCTAAGTGGACAGCAATACAGTTTCCAGACTCGGGTCAACAAGTTTGATGGCTCTGCAGGTTTCCTTGTCCCCGCCGTTTCCTCCAGCCTCTTTTTAAAGTCCTCCCTTCAGTCTTTGGGGGACAGTCTCCAAATTGGCTCCCAGAGACTCATCGCCAGGCCTGGAAATAAAGCCTTTGCTACCTAAATTTTCGGTCTCTTGCTTCCTTGGATTTTATACCGGGGCCCGAGTTATAACAGTCTAATAGTCAATAGCTCTCCCATCAAGTATCATACGGAGATAGACCTTCTGCCATCCCTCTGTTTGCCTCCCTAAGTGGCAGCAATTCACTGCAAAAGGCACCAAAAAGGAGTCCATGAAATATCTCAGGGTAACCAACCGGCTGAAAAAGCTTTCAAAGAAGCTGCTGGAGGGCTTCCTCCTTATGGCACCCTGACCTGGGAAGGGTCTGTGGATCATACTTGACTTAAACATTCTCAGTCAGCAATCAAATGGGCTTTCTCCCTGGGTCAATTCCTGTCATCAGGATAATTACCATCAGATGGTGACAGAATGTTCCTTCCTGGTGCTAGTCAATGGGAAATTATTTTTTACATCAAAGCTTTCACTAGGGCAGGGACAAGACCCACCAAAGTTATTCACAGGACAGGGACTCTCTTAGACAATTTGACAGATAGGCCATGTGAGCTTGGCCAAAAGAATGAGTCTCTTAACCAGACCACGGCCTTCCCAGCTCAGCAGAGACCTGGTAAATACCCTGGAAAAGACTGACATCTTGATTTGACCCATCTGCCCAAGAGCAAGGGACTCCAGTAACTATTGGTCTGAGCAGGTACCTTCTGCTGCAGAGAGGTACCTGCACAAGAGGTGGTGACAGTTTTGGTCTTAGAAATCATCCCCAGGTTTGGATGTCCCTAAGAACAGAGAAAGTGACAATGAGCCCTCTTTCACAAGCACCGGGCACTCTCTATCACCTTCACTGTACATGGAGGCCACAATCATTGGGAAAAAAGAGAGAAAACGAAAGGGACCCATGAGAGACATTTTTGCAAAATGGTCTGGGAAGTCTACCTGCGATGGCCCCAATGTACTAGCACTAGTGCTAGCATTTACCAGTGTGAGAAATACATCTCAAATCCTAGGCTTCAGTACTTTGGAAAGGCTTTTTGGATGGCCTTTACTCACAATAAAGAAACAGAGAGGGGCTGGGGATTTAGCTCAGCGGCATAAGGGCCTGCCTTGCAAGCAGGTGGTCGTGAGTTCGATCCCCGGTACCGATAAAAATGAAAAAAAAAAAAAAAAAAGAAACAGAGAAACAGATGCCTTGTAAAAGCTGTCCCGTCACTGGCTAAGCCCTGGTGGGTTATTCAATAACTAATGAGAGCTATGGCTGGGCATGGTGGCTCTCGTCTGTAATCCCAGCACTTGGGAGGCTGAGGAGGAGGATTGTTTCAAGTTCGAGACCAGCCTGGGCTACAAAGTGAGCTCAAGGCCAGCCTGAACTGCATAGTGAGACCCCGTCTCAAAAAAAAAAAAAAAAAAAGATAAAAATTTTTTTGTCTTTTTGAGACAGGGTCTTGCTATGTAATTCACGCCCGCCTTGAACTCACTTTGCAACCCAGGCTGGTGTCCAACTTGCAATGATCCTTCTGCCTCAGCCTCCTGAGTTCTGGGATTACAGGAGTGCACCACCACACCTAGCTTGACTTGTTGAAGCAGATTTCACATCATACAAGATTCGCTGCTGTAACCACCTTCAAGTGGACCATTGGTGGAGCCCAGCCCATTCCGACACAATGCAGCCGTCACTTCTCTGAGCTCTGAACACTCTCCTGTCTATAGTCCCCCTCCCTTGTCCTCCAGAAACCACTCACCTGCTTTCCCCCTTCCCAGGATTTGCCTGAAGGAAAGCTGTATGACTCAGGTCCCAGGGCTACCCCATTCCTGCCATTATTTTTTTCTCCTCTGTCTCAGTTCTTGCATTTTTTGACTTTTATGTCTACACTTGCAGCATAAATGATTGCTCTTGCTGTAGGGTGTTGGTACATGCATATAACACATCTCAGTCTTGCATTTCTAACTTTGCTCCCTGGAGCACCCCCACCCCTCACACACACATACCACCACCACCAGGCTCTTTTCCTGGGCTCCAGCTACCAGCACTCAAAGCAGCTGCTTTGGAAAAATCTGATGAGAGAGAACAGGCCACCTACCCCAGACAGAAGGTGCTGGGCATGGTGCTGCACAACTGTAATCTCAGCACTCAGGAGCCTGAGGCAGAAGCATTGCTGTGAGTTTGAGGCCAGCTTGGGTTGCACAGTGAGCTCAGTGCTGTCCTAAACCACAAAGTGAAGCCTTGTTCCCAAAAACCAAACAAGCTGGGCATGGTAGCCCCTGGTTGTAATCCCAGGACAGTGGCTAGACATGTGGTGCACAGCTGTACTTCCTGCCACGTGGAGGCTGAGGCAGGAGGATGGAGTCTAAGGCCAGCCTGGGCAATTTAGGGAGATCCAGTACCAAAAACAAAACCAACCAACCAACCAAGTACTAAGGTGTCTATCAGCAGGGTGCCAAAAATGCTCAGTTGACACAGCCTTCACAGGCTGTGTGCCTTCCTCTCTGGTTTTGACTTTTTTTTTTCAGCACTGGGGATGGAACCCAGCGCCTCCACATTGTGCTCCACCCTAAGCCCTTTTTAAATTTTTTATTGTGAGACTGGTTCTCCACAAGTTGCTGTTTTGCCTAGGCTGGACTCAAGTTTACAACCCCCCTTCCTCAACCTCCCAAGTGGTGGGATTACAGGCGTGCACCAGCATATCTAGCACCTCAAATCCTGACCCTGAGGAATTTGGGATTACCCCAGTCACTTCCCCACAGGGACCTACAGCTAAGTGAAGAAGCCAGTGAATCTCACCTGGGACTGGGGAGAATTAGCAAGAACCTATGGAGAGCACAGGACAGGGCCTGGCACCACGGGGTGTTCGAGGTCATTATCTCCTTCCTCTCTGCACATCACCAATGCCATCTCTTCTCACTCCTCCCTGCTCAAGAACCTTCCATGACTCCCCATTACCCCTGGATAATATCCAAGTCCTTCATGGCATTGGAAACCTTTGGATTTTGATTTTTTCCCCCACCACCCATTTCTGGGTGTCTAGTGGCAAATGTTTATGTCCCTCTCACTTTTTCATCTTCCTCTCTGAGGACCTGGGAGTCTAAAGTCCTCCCCACAGGGACTCCAGAGATTACTCACAAGTTAGGGCCTCCTAGACATCAGAGGACTGTTATTCAGCCACGGAAAGGAGCAAAGCACAGAGGCATACTACAACATGGGTCCAGCCCAGGTTCCCTCCCAAGTTGGAGATAATTCAGCAGGAAGTGGTTCACTTTGGCTCCCAGTCCCACTCTGAGGTCAAGGGGCCACATCTGGCGTGGCCTTGTTGCGGGCAGAATCCAGAGGCAGCTCTGGCTGTGAAAGGGGACACATGTCCTTTGGAGGCTGAGGCTCTCTTCCACCAACACAAATCAGCTAGGGGCAGAAATAGGAAGGGAAGAGCAAGAGGAAGAGGAAGTCAGCAGCAGGAACCGAAACTGCACCCTGAAAGCAGGAATCTGGAACGGGGGAACCTGGACTCTGTCCCTGAGTGGGTAAGGGGCTTAGACACAGTGGGCTGAATAATAGTTGTACTCCTCAAAGGACTGTCCACCCACAGGAGCCCTGGCCTCCTGGGAGGGGGAGGGGCAGCTTCTTGGAGGCTGAGGCAGGAGGATTATGAGTTAGAACCCAACCTGGGCAACTTGGCAAGACTCTGTCTCAAAATAACATATAAATGGGGGCTGGAGATTTAGCTCAGCGGCATAAGCGCCTGCCTTGCAAGCAGGCAGTCGTGGCTTTGATCCCCGGTACCAATAAAAAGGAAAAAGACCAAAAAAAAAAAAAAAAAAAACATACAAATGAAAAAGGGCTCGGTTTGTAGCTCAGTGGGAAGGTCCTGGGTTCAGTCCCCATGGGTGGGGGGAACAGGCTGGGGGTCTAGATAATACAGAGCACCAGTGACTCAGATTTCTGGGCCCTGGGGAGAAGAAGAGATAGGGGTTTGCATGCTGACTGCACGAAGTTGGGGAGAGGAAGTTAGGGACTCCCTGAAGTTGAACTGTGGCCTACTGGGTTCGTGGGAGACAGGAAGTGGTGGTTTGGGGTGAGGTCCGTGGCAAGTGGCCAGTCAGACCCAAGGCTGAGCAGAGCACCACTGCCTTTCCTAGTACCTGGACTTTGCCTCTGTGGGCACCGGGACAGCCACCTGTTTCTCCACCCACCGCACCCAGCAAACCTTCCAGCACGCTGACACCCAGGCCTCAAGCAAGGAAACCACTGAAGGTGATGGTCCAGGCCAGAGGATGAAATTGGAGGGTAGCAGGACCAAGGGAAAAGGGAAAGCGCCTCCAGCAAGGGCAGGTCTGCTTGTCAGAATCCCGAAAATTGCTTCTGCCTGGAGCCAGTGCAGCAGGAGGCTGGGTGGAAGCTGAGATTCCTCACAGCTGAGCGCTGGCTCCTTCCCTGCAGGCCCAGAGACTGCCCCCGCCCTCTGCTCTCCTGCCTGCCCGGTATGTGGGGCTACTTGACCCTTCTGCCCATCTTCCTGGCACTCTGGGCTATCGCTGGTGTTTGGATTGTGTAAGTGTCAGTGGCGGGATGATGCCAGGGTGTGAGGGAAGGGGCTGGGCCCAGACCCCAGGGTGTGAGGGAGGAGGGAGCCGGAAGTCTAGGTTTTGTTTTGTTTACACAATGAAGTATAAGTTTGGTTAAGGGAAAGACCTTGAACCTCCCATGCTCACTCTCCTATGTTCCTCCCACCTTAGTTTCGGGATTGCTGTGGCCAACAGGACTGTGAACCTCAGCCAAGGGTTCCCCTACATCAGGTAGCTGGGGTGTGTGGGTGCCCACAGGAGGAAGTGGTGGGTCCTGGCTTGCAGGTGCCACAGGATGACAGTTATTCCTCTGTCTTCCTCAGCATCTGCGGATCCTACCCACCTCAGAGCTGTATTTTCAGTCAGGTTCTCAATATGGGTGCTGCCCTGGGTAAGGATTCCCATCCTTTTCCAAGTACTGCTACCCTAAACCAACAAAGTGGAGCGTGCCGGCACCAGGAGTCCAGCCCTCCACCACCCAAGGGTCCTGGTCTCCATTCTCAAACCCGGGGTCCAGGACCCCAGTCCTTGTCCTCCCTTAATCTTTGCTGAGCACCTTGCTGGCTCCAGGTGCTGCCCACTTCCCTCTCTTCCCAGCCGCCTGGATATGCATTGTGCGTTATCACCAGCTCCGGGACTGGGGCGTCGGGACGTGTTTTAACCAGCTGACCCTGTGGTCCGGGCTCATCTGTGCTCTGGGGACCTCGATAGTAGGCAACTTTCAGGTGAGACACAGTGGACAGGGCACAGTGGACTACAACTCCCTGTGTGCCCCGCGACCGAAGCGTGCTCATTCTATGGGCCCGACTCGCACTGCCTTTTGGGATTTGTAGTCCTCTAGTGACTTGCTGCCACAGTGCTGCCAAGCTGGCTCCTGGGACGAGTGTCCTTTAGGAGGCCCTTTGTCCATTGGACCTTGTGGAGCCCAAAGAGGCTAGGAGGCTTTCGCCCCAGCCTCCTTCCCATTCTCATGTAACGATGAAATCACCGTGATTCCCCCCCCCCCCCAAGCTGGCTGTGAGCGTGTTTCCTTATGGGAGTCAGGCTTGACACTGTGGATCCCTTCACCAGCACTCTGGGGGCTGTCCCCTCGCAGGTTCCAGAGTCCCTGTCCACTGATGTCAGAGAGCAACTCAGATCCTTGGACCCTAGAAACCTTGAGTTGTCCGTAGAATGAACCAAATGATGACGGGAATCTTAGCGATTTATTTGCTATTTTATTCTGTTGTCACATCACTGACACCGAGGCTCTCTTGCTGGAATAAGAGCTGGAGAAGCCCCCAGGATGCTGGGCTCAGAGGCTGCCCCTTCTTATTTGCACAGCACTCCATCTGCTCAGGTGTTTATTCCCATGCTCCTCACTCCTGAAGCTTGACCTTGCTGTGACAGTGCTTCCCTGAGGAGCTGTGTGTAGACATTTCCGTGATCACTTTCATCCCCCCAAAAGTGTCCCCTGCAAAGGCTTAATATTGAAACACTTTAACTGATACTCTGGGCCAACACCACTGTGCTGTCTGATGTGTCTATCCCCTCTGGGGCAGGATCTGTTTCCACTTCGGGACCCAAAGGTTTATTCTGTGCTGCTTTCCTGGGTATCTCCCTTTCAACTCTCTCTCCTCTGCCCAGGAAAAGAACCAGAAGCCCACGCACCTGGTGGGGGCCTTCCTTGCCTTCATCCCGGGCAACATCTACTTCTGGCTACAGTTCCTACAGTCCTGGAGGATGAGCAGCCTACGCCAGCCTGGGGAGCCCTGGATCCGACCGCTGCGCCTGGGCCTATGTGGCCTGTGCACCCTCCTCATCATGGCCAGTATCCTCTTGGGGCTGCCAGGGGTCAGGCTGGCTCCTCACGGGTGTTGAAGTGTCCTGCGCCCTTGCGGTGTATCACTGTGGATTTCCCTTTCGTCTCTGGGGCTCCACATGGGGCCGTAGCTGCCTCTTGGCAAGTTCTCACACTGAGGCTGCATCTCTGGGGTGGAGCCCTGTTTCCCCATATTAGTTGGGGTGTGCTTCATTGGTTGTTAAATTCTTGTGCCTCAGTTTCCCCTCTTACCAAGGGCAAGGCTGTGCAGAGTAAATCGGATGGTGAGCAGGAAGGGTTCTGCCCTCTGCCTGGCCTAGCAGGTGCCAATGCAGGATCCGTTTACAGCAATTTTGGGGTGCTGCCCCATGCTGGGTGTATGTAAGGGCACAGGCAGGACCAGCCCCACCAGTCCACCCTTCTTATTTATACCCAGCCAGTGTCCTGGTGGGCTTAGCGGTGGCCTATAGGTGGCTTGTGAGGAGCTGAGGTACAGAATTTCCAGGTCCCTGTTCACAGAGGTGATCTGGCAGTGTCTGCACCAGGACCTCTGACAGCAGCTGCCAACCAGAGCCAGCTGCCCAGTGTCTGCCAGAGTTGGGGTGTCTTCCACCAGCGTAGGGCACCCTCGGCCTGCTCAATGAGTCTTGAGCCTCAGTCTCCACATCTGTGAGACAGAGTTGCCTTGGTCCCAAGAGTGACTAACTCTGGTAGGCAGAGGGGAGCGGAGAAGCTGCTTCTGTGTAGGTCAGGCTTGGCAGCCTCTCCCATTTGTGAAGAGAGAAGCTGGGGCCGAGGGAGGCTGAGGGCAACCCAAAGGGCTCAGCTGCAGGCAGAATGAGGATGACGAGCCTAATTCCTCCAGCAGGGGTGGTCAGTGATCCCAGCCTGTGGAACCGGCCTGTCCCTTCCAGCTGGCCAGTGGGTGGTGAGATGCAGCTGGTGCCCAAGATGCCTCCAAATCAGCTGTGCTGACAAGCGGTTTGGTGACAGGGAGCTGCACAGACGAGTGGGCTAAGCAGGGGCCAGAATCCCACAGAGAGCTGGTGGGAGCCTGCTGCCGCCGTGGGTGCTGCCGTGGACCAGGCTGGGACACAGTGGGCCAGGCCTGTGCACAAGGTGGAAGCAAGCAAGGGCTGGTGCTGAGCTCTCCAAGAGGAAGGGAGAGGGCCTGGGCTCCTCATGGGGGCTGTGAGGTCTTCAGAGACAGGAAGGGCTTGAGCCTGACTCAGGGCTCATCCCTCTCCCGAGCTGTAAGACCCATGGGCTGGGGCCATGGGCGGTGCCAGTCTTGTTGGCCACTTGTCCCTAATGGCTGGCACACAGGGACTTTAGAAATCCTCAAATGAATGAAACAGTGTCTAAGCTGGACTGGGAAGGGCGAGCTGGATGGAGACCGCAGCAGAGGAGGGAGGAGGATGCTCCAGGGAGAAGTCTGAGGAGTAAGTTGTCCCATGAGGCCCACAGACAGCTTTGGCCTGCCCCGAGGTCGCAGAACTCAGAGGACACAGGCAGTGGAGGGGTAGGAAATGGGTTTTCTGTGTTTTGTTTTGAGACAGGGCCTCGCTGTATATTCCAGGCTGGCCTGGAACTCATACAGCAATTTTCCTGTCTCAGCCTCCTGCTATACTGGCATCACCACACCCACTTCTGGTTTTGCCTTTTGAGGTACCATCTTTCTTTGTAGTCCAGGCTGGCCTTGAACTCCATCTTTCTGCTCCCGGCCCTGAGGTGCTGCCACCTCACAGGTGTGTGCTGCCAGGTGAGCCCAGAAATAGATTTAGAATATCTGGGGAGTCAGGGAAAGGACGGGGCAATGAAATGGAATCAGACAAGGGCAATAGGAGGCCAGCTGGGCACACAGGAGGGTGAGGGGACTCCTAAGGGTCTGCCTTGACACCAAAGGGATGGTGGCACTGCCTTGGTGGTGTGGACACCAGAAAGAGGGACAGACTTGGGAGGGCATGGGAGACAGATTTAGGAACTGTGACTAGTAACAGTGGCAGTGGTGTCCTGAGGGATGTGCTGGAGCTACCAGAGGACTGGGAAAGCTCAGCTGGACAAGTAGTATTTTGGAGCCCTCTGTGGTGGCGCAGGCCTGTAATCCCTGCACTAGGGAGGCTGAGGCAGAAGGATTGCTGTGAGTTTGAGACCAGCCTGGTCTCAAACAAAGTGAGCCCAAGTGTCGGGGTCGCTCCCGGCCAGCAGGAAAGACACACGACAAAGTCTGGCGGTGTGCAACCTTGCCTTTATTTGTCTCCGCGTGGGCCCCGCGAGGCCTCCGCTCTGTCACCAGCCCTTTCTCGCCGGTGGACTTTCTCTATCTCTCTCTGTGCTTCCTCTCTCGTGGCGGGAGAGGCATTCACTTTTATAGGGTGACAGTAGCCAATCAGTTCAAAACGCGCGATGCGGGCTGACTGGCTAACATCAGTTGTTGCTAGGCAGACTATCTTACAGAGCGGGTTGTTTAAGTCGCCAGCGCAATCAGGGGGCAGGAAGCAGGCGCCAACTTGGCTCACTCGATGGGAGGGGCAATCTAGCTCAGGCTCCGCTCCCACCCACAGGCCCTACGTCCGCCAAGTAAGGCGACCGGTGTCGGCCGCGGCTCCCAACACCCAAGGCCAGCCTGAACTGCATAGTGAGACCCTATCTCAGAAACATCAAACAAGCCGGGCGTGGTGGCTCACACCTGTAATCCCAGCACTCAGGAGGCTGAGGCAGGAGGATCATTGGGAGTTCCTATACCAGCCTGGGTTACAAAGTGAACTCAAGGCCAGCCTGAACTGCATAGTGAGATTCTGTCTCAAAAAGACCAAACAAAAAACAAAAAGGAAAGAAACAATGTTTTGCACTATTAGGACTACACTGTTAACGACACCTATACAGGACAGATCCCTGGTGACAGATGGAGACAGGTCACTGGGATGACAAGGGCCAACACCCCTGAGCACAGGTTAGGAACAGGTGCTAAGGATGGGTATCTGTCCCAGGGCACCTAAGGGGGGCTCCAGGCCCTTTCCGAAAGCAGGTGGCCCTTGACCTTGGCATCCAGTGATTGTCCTGCACTTTCTGCAGCTGCGCTCGGCCGCCGCTGCCTGTGAGTGGGCCTTGGCCATGCTGCTCTTCATGCTCTTTGGCCTCTTCACCGTGGACTTCTCGGAGCTGGACGGCTGCACCCTGTGCCTGAGGCCTCAGCCAGGGCTCCCAGCCCTGCCGGGCTCCCCTGCGCCCTCGCAAGTCTAGTTATCGCAGGGGCTCAGCTCCCACCTCCCTCCCTGTGCAGGAAGCGGGCCAGAGCCACCTGGGAGGCCTCCGAGATGAGCCAGCAGGGACTCCCCAGCCAACCGGCTGGACAGGAACTCTCAGAGCCTGGAGGATGCACGTGCGGAGGCTGCGCCCACACCCGCCTGTCCCTGTCTCTGCAGTGGGGGCGTCCAGGAAGCCAGAGGCCGAGTCCAGTGCTTGTCCCTGATCGAGGCTATTTATTATTTTTTTGTTGTTGCCGCCGGCAGAATCAGAGACATGGACACAGGCAGGATCACGCGAAACCAGAATTCCTTCCGGGAGAGCAAATCCGTACAGAAGGTTGTGGGAGGCAGGGGAGGAGGGGCCCAGGAAGGGGAGTTGGGACGACACAGGGACAGGGCCCTGTCCGGATCTGCTAAGCCACCCCAACCAGCTCCCGTCCCTCCCCCACCCCACCCACAGAGATTGATCAATAAATAAAACAATAAATTAATCAATAAATAAAATAGAAATGGCTCCCTGCCCCCATCCCCTGCGCCTCCCCCCTTGGGCATGGCCCGGAGTCCAATCGCTGTGGGGCAGGCCAGTTTCTGGGTCCCCCCCCTCCCAATGTACTTCTTGGGCCTTATTTACAGATTCACAGTTAGGGGACAGGGAAGGGGGATGGAGGGACCCCGTCCTTCCCTGACCCCTGGGGTCAGGGCAGCGGGGTCCCGTTGGTGGCCAGGAGCTTCTTGTCCTTGGGCGGGCCTCGGCGGGGAGAGCCGCTCAGCTCAGGGTCTGGGCGGCTGGGTGGAGGCTGCAGGCTTCGGGGCGGGGTGCCAGTGGGCCGGGGCTGTGCCCCGTTCTTCTCGTCTGTGGAGGAGGAAGAATTTAGTGTAGGCTGCGGTGCCTCTCATGGATCTTGGGATGCCAGGGTGGTTGAGGCCTCGATCCGAGGTACTCACACCCCGAAGGGGCACCCAAAGGACACAGGTCACCCACAGATGGGCTCTCCCTCGTGGGAGCTGCATGGGAGCCTTGGAACCTGTATGGCACCAGAAATTGGGCCAAATTAGTGTGGGTGAGACTCAGGCCCAACTTCAGAGGACCCCGGGGACAGCTGGGGGCCAGTGACCCTGAGTTTACTGCTAGGCTGCTGGGTACAGCTTTTAGGGTGTGGCTTAGGGGTCACAGGCCCTCCTGGCTGAACCTCCCTAACCTGGCTGTGTTCCTGTGGGTCCGACTTCCCCTACAGGGCCACCTGCAGTGGCTCCTTCAGGGGGCAGCTCCAGGGGACCATGTGACACCTGAGGTCTGCAGGCCCAGCTGCTTGGAGACACTGAGTGCTGGGCAGGAGCCATGCTGGCCTGTTGCAAGAGCAACCAAAAAGGCTCCCTGCTTCCAGACCACCCCACCGTGGTTTCTTACCCCCAGTATTGGAGAATTGAATCCAGGGCCTTCATCCTGAGCTCCATCCTCAGCCCTTAGGGTTTTGGTACCTTGCTCAGGCTGGGCTCGAACTGGGATCCTTCTGCCTCAGCCTCGAAAAGTGCTGGCATTATAGCCACATTATCAGTATGAGACAAGTGCCCCAGGGGGCCTGCCTATTGGTACTGCATCTTTGAGGGTGGACCCTTTTGGGATCCCTGGTTGCTGAGGCAAGGGGACCCAGTCGGCCTAATTTGCTTTTTGGTTGCCCGTAACAACCAAAAAGGGAAGGCAGGGTGTCACGGTTGCTGCTGACATCTGGGGCCTGGGTGACCCTTTGTGGTAAGGGGTGTCCTGTGAGTTACAGGGTCTCTCATGGCTTCCCTGACCACTGTCCATAAGATGCTACGGAATCCTTCTGCTATCCTCGGCTAAGACCACCAGGGAAGCTATGCTGGCTTTCCTCATCACAGCCTGCCCTGCCTCCTCCAGCCTGTACTTACCTTTTCTCTTTTTCTTTCTTTCTTTTTTTTGAGACAGGGTCTCATTAGGCTGCCCTCAAACTCACAGAGATCCTCCTGTCTCAGCCTCCCCAAGTGCTGGGTTTACAGGCATGAGGCACCATGACTGGCTTTATCTTGCTTTGTCCTGTCACTCACCCTAAGCTCACTCTTCATGCCGGGGAGCTGTGAATACATAATTTGTGGGAATGAAGACTGCTTGCATGGTGACTAGGATTAAGGACTTTGGCCAGGAAAGCTATTGTGGATTACTTAGGTATGTCCAATTTAGTCTTATGAGACCTTGGGAAACCTTTCCCAGCCAGGTAATGTGGTTCTCACCTGTAATCCCAGCACTTGGGGAGGCTGAGGCAGGGGGATGGCAAAGTCAGAGCATAGCCTGGGAGACTTACAATACCTTAGCTTAATTCTTTAAAGAAGGGTATGGAACATAGTTCAGTGCAAAGGTCTTGTGTTTAACCTCCGGGACAGGAAAATGGGAAAAAGAATCTTTCCCAGTTAAGGTCAGTGTCTCAAGCTCAGGCCCGGAAGAGGCCACAGGAAAAGGAATAATGTGTGGTCTCCAGCTGCTGTTGGAGGCTCAGATACCACCAGGCCTGCTCATGAGACTCACAAGGGCCTTCAGATTTCTAGGACTCAAAGGATGACAATCTGTGTTGTTCCAGCCACCAGGTTCATGGCCTTTTGTTTATGGCGGCTACAGGGAACTAACCCAAGGGTGACCCTGGGATGGCATTCTTTATTTTGTTTTTTGACACAGGATCTCCCTGTGCAGCCCAGCTGCCCTCAAACTCAGCAATCCTCCTGCCTCAGCCTCCTACGCAGGTTCGAGGATTACAGGTGTGCAGTAACTTGCCCTGCTGAGTAGCAGTCCTCAGTGACAAGGCTGCTGTGGCTCCAGCTCCTCTGCTGGTGCCCTCTCACGGGGAGGGAGACAGCCCCTGGGTGGCCCTGGAAAAGCCCCAGAGCGGATGGCAGACCCTGTGGGATCCATGGCCCTCACACCTGCACTCATGTACTCCACGGGCCTGTTCAGGAGAAGCTGCTGTGTCTCTGGCTGTATTATGGGCATGTTGTTCCCCCAAAATCCACGTGCTGAACCCCCGGCCCCAAGATTGTCGTGTTAGGAAAGAGGACCTTTGGGAGGTAATTACTCACAAGGATGGAGCCCTCATGGATGGAATTGGTGCCCTTGTGAAAGAGACCTCAGAGCTGGGTATGCTGGCACACCCTTGTAATCTCGGGATCTCAGAGGCTGAGATAGAAGGATCGCAGGTTCAAACCCAGTCTAGACAACTTACAAACTGTCTCAGAATAAAAAAAAAAAACAAGGGCTGGGTGTGGTGGCTCACGCCTGTAATTCCAGTACTCGGGAGGCTGAGGCAGGAGGATCCTTGCGAGTTCAAGACCAGCCTAGGCTACAAAGTGAGCTCAAGGCCAGCCTGAATTGCACAGTGAGACCCTGTCTCAAAAAGACAAATATAAATAAATAAATAAATAAATAAAACAAGGGCTGGGGAGGTAGCTCAGAGTGAAGGTGCTGGACTCAATTCCCAGAATACATATGTGTGATGACCTGCTGCGTGAGCTCCCTGCATATGTTCCTGCCAGAGCCCAGCAAGAAGGTGCCTCCTCCACATTGGACTTCCAGCCTGTGAACGGTGGATGAGTGATGCTTTTCTGTTGTTTGTAAGCCACTGGGTTTATATTGTGTTCCTACGGTGGCCAGAGTAGATTGAGACACTTTGGCGACAAATGTGGCCATGGCCTGGCCCCTGCTTTGCCCCTTGGTTGCTATGGACAATAGGCCTTAGCAACAGGCCCTGCTGGAGCCTGAGTTCTTGGGTACCAAGAACATCTAAGTCCTGCAAAGGGGGTGATCAATGTGTCTCATCTTTAGACCAAATGTCCTGAATCCAGGTGGATGGGGCTGGTCCATCAACCCACTCCAGAGCGTAGGCCTGGGACCTCTGTGGCAGGATATCCTGCTGCCCCCGAGCAGGGGCCGCAGTCCTCACAGAGATCTCTATAGTCTGGTCTGCAGATCCATGGGGAGCCCGTCAGGGCCTGGATGCCACCCACCACCCACAGCCCCACCCACCTGCCAGGGCCTGCACGGATGGCTGGTCGTGTGTGCTCAGCAGCTGTGCCTGGATGGTCTCCACCACACGCTTGAACCGACGGCTGGGACCTGGGGGACAGCGGGCAAGAAACACACTGATGGCCAGCTGAGGCCATCAGCCTGCAGAGCCCAGCTCCTCCAAGTGAAGAGTCTCCTCCTCTGGGACTCAAGTTTCCCCAGTGCTGGTGGAGCAGACATCAATCTACGGTTTAGAAATGGATCTCCCTATTGCTCTGTAGGAAACACCTTAGCTGAATGTGGTGATGCACACTTGTAATACAGGCACTCAGGAAGCTGAGGCAGGAGGACTGCTGTGAATTTAAGGCCAACTGGGCTACTTAAGTGAGTACAAGGCTGACCTGAAGTACAGTGAGATGCTGTTTAGAAGCAAAAGATGAATGGACTGTAGAGGTCTTGCCTTGCACACACAAGGCCCTGGGATTGGATCCCTAGCACCACTCCCCACAGGCATGCAAACTGAATATTAAAAAAAAGAAAGAAAGAAAAAGAAACACCCTGAAACTCAGATGCCTTCAACTTTAACAACAGGTACTGGCCTCTGTTTATACAGAAGCTGCTGCTTTGCCTCTCTAGTTGAGGCTGTGAAAAGCCAGAGATGTTAAAAAAAAAAAAAAAAAAAAAAAAAAAAAACGGTGAAAGAAAAAACCATCTTGAGGTGGAGAAAGGCCTGCTCTGTGAGGCTGAGGCATGAGTTCAAACCCCGCTGAGGCAACTTAGTGAGCTCCTGGATCAAAATAAAACTGGCTGGGGAATGTCACTCAGTGCAAAGGCCCTGGGCTCAGTCTCCTGTACTGCCCCCACAAAAAGAGAAAGCAAAGTCTTCACTTAGTCTTAAAGGGGAGAATAAAAAGGGCTCTAATTTATTTGAGTGAAGGAACACCCCACTGTTTCACTGCCACCTGATGTAGAAACCCTCAGAACAAGCTCATCTCCTGGGGGTGACATGGGCAAAGACAGAGCTGTTCTTTGTTATCCAAAGGCCCATCAGTAGGACCCAGAAACCCAGCAGAATCGAAGCAAGTTACTCCTGTGGTTCTCATCTCTTGTGCCAGCTATCGATTGGTTGTGGTTGTCTGATGTGAAAAGTGGCTGAGATAGCATAGCTCAGCAGGAAGAAGCACTGTAATTGATTGGTGATATCTGTTCTGAGTAGGGGTGTCATATTTGAGGACCACACGCTGTGCTTATCTTTCCCCTTTTGATCTAAGGGGAAGTGAACATAGAAGGCAGAGCTCCAGTGTCCCCTGTGAGGGCAAGAAGCCTAGGTTGATCCTAATTTTGTCATGGTTTACTGTGTGACTGTCATCAAGCCCATCTGCCTCTCCAGGTCTCAGTTGTTTTTATATATGTGTGTGTGTGTGTGTGTGTGTGTGTGTGTGTGTGTGTGTCAAGTGGATCATCCACACCTCAGAGGCGGCTTGGAGTAACACTATTTATATGATAAATACCCACTGAAGATTGGGGAAGGATGGGATGTTTGGGTTCTGTGTGAGGAAGGGGCTCACAAAGCAGAGTAGCCTCTCTCTGGCCTGGCTGGCCTCCTGGGGGCCTCTGACATCCTGGTCACTGCACTGGGGGACAGTGTAGTCAGCAGACTCACCAGAGATGAGAGTAAAGGTGACGGAATAGATGCCGCCTCCACTGCTGCCGTCCCGGCGGGGGGAAGGCTCAGGGCCCTCTGAGGAGCTGATGTCCACCTGGAAGCGGACAGGTTTCTGGAAGACGGAGGGGCCGCCACTGGCTTTGTATTCGGCCCTGAAGCTGGTCTGTGACAGCACACTGTGACTCAGGCTGGGGATCTGAAAGGTGGGGACATGGGATTCAGTGAAGGACTGTAGGGTGGAACACATGACCAACCTACAACTGGTTCTACCCAGGGAACTCCAAACCCCATCAGCCACTGGGGCAAAGCATGAGAGAAGGCCTTGGGAGATTCTGACGACTTGTTTTTTCTGCCCTACAACATGGACAAGGGATCAAAAGAGTGGTTGAACATTTGAATCTCAATTTCAAGAGGACTCTGATAGCACCAGGCTCCAGGACCACAGGACACCTCTTCTAGTCCCATCTACAGCCACAGGTCCCAGCCACCATGTTTCCTTTAGTCCCACACCAAAGCAGCATAGGGCCAGCTATAGGCAGTCCCTAAAGCCTGCTGGAAAAGCAGCTCCTTCTGCCATCTCTGACCTTGGGTGTTATGGGTGATACATTGTGTCAACTTGAGAAGTTTAGAAATTTAACTAAGAACTCAGCAGGGAGCCAGAGTCCTTGCTTTGTAAATATCCTCAGCCTGTGCAAGAGGAGGGCACAGAGATTTTTTGAGTGCTACAAGCACCCTATGGGGTGGTAGCCTGCTTACAATATAAGGGAGGAGAAGAGGTCTGCTCTCCCCACTTCGTTTTCAGGGCTTTTGTTGGCTGCTGCCTTGAAGTCAACCTTGTCCTGGTACCATGCCACCCTGCCTTGGAGCCAGCTGATTATGAACTGAACCCTCCACAAACAGTGAACTAAATGAACCTTTCCTTCCTACCCTGTGTCAGGTAAGCAAAACAGGAAAATCGCAACTCATCCATCCTTCATTTATACCTGGGAAACTCACTGGGGATCCCCACCCCCTAGCCCTGAGGAAAAATAACCCTTTTTTTCTTCCTTGCCCCAACATGGACTAGAAAACCACACAGCTTATGAACCCCAAAAGGAAGCCCGGCCAGGCCACTGTGGCTCAGCCCAAGGCGCTGAGCTTTGCAGCTCCCAGTGGGGTCACAGGTTCCTCACCGACAGGAAGGCGTGGACAATGTCCGCTTTGATGCTGCTGAGCGGTTTGTCCTTGAGCACGAGAAATATTTGTTCTTCTTTGTCCAGGGAGATGAAGTTCCCAAACCAGGAGCGTTTGGCCAGTCTGAGAGGGAGGGACAGTGGTATGTCAGGGGGATGTGTGTGTGGGGTGACCCCCAATTCCTCCTCTTCCCTTTCAATGCCACTCACTCTGGAGAGGACTCTGGTGTCAAACTGGACATCTCCTCCGCGGTGGGGACTGGGTTGGGGAGGAAAGAGAACGCGGTCAACACCTCTCTCCATCGTCCTGCAGGCTAGGAGCCATCTCCTTCTCTAGGTTCCTGACCCCATCCTTAGGGCAGACCTCTTAGGCCACACCCCTGCGGCATTATGGTCCAATGGGGAGGAGGCTTAGAGTGCAATGGGGGCGGGGCCTCGGGTGGGCTTCTCCTTTAGAGTGTGAGGCTCAGCTCTTCCCTCCCTGGCACCTGCTGCTGTGCCCAGCACCCACCCTGCGCTTCTTTTTCTCTTAGGATGTGGGAAGCCAGCCAATCTCCTATCTGAAGTCGCTGCAGGGATTCCCTGGATCCAGAAATGGAGCGTTTTCCCCAGGTTTGGACTTAGAAGCTCTTACACCCGGAACCCCATAATCCGTACCCTGCATCTTGCGCCGGTGGAAGCGAGGGGAGCCCAGGAAGCTGTTGCGGATGGAGTTGAGCCGACTCCTCCAGGCAGCTCCCCCGACACCACCGCCGGGGCTGGGGGGCGGCGTAGTCCCCGGAGTCCCGGTGGGGCTGGCTCGGGGCGTGTGCAGGGGCGAGTGCAAGGGAGTCCCTCCAGAGGAGCGCGGGGAGCCTGGGGGTCCGGGCAGGGGTGTGGAGCGGGCGCTGGGGGGCGGGGGCTGCTCCCCGGCGCCCCCGCCTCTGGGGCCTCGAGAAGGTAGCGTCTGTGTTTTAGATGTCGGGGATCCCCCGCCTCGGGCCTCATCTACAGCCCCCGGTTCGGGCGAGAAGGAAAACACCGGACTCTGCGGAGGAGCGGGCAAGATGAGGCCGGACTACAACTCCCAGGAGGCCCTGCGCATGACTCCCGCACACGCCCTCGAGGGCCCCCCCTGAGGCACACTGGAACTTGTAGTGTAGTCAATCCCCTTTTAGCCAAAGTTTGCACCCGGGATATGTAACTGCAGCTGAGTGGAATGGTACACAGTAGATGGCCAACAGGCTTTTTCTTCTTCTTTTTTTTTTTTTTTTGTGAGACAGGGTCACGCCACACGGTTCAGGCTGGCCTTGGGCTCACTTTGTAGCCCAGGCTGGTCTCGAACTTGGATTCTCCTGCCTCAGTCTCCTAAGTGCTAGGATTACAGGAGTGTGCCATCACGCCCAGCTTTTAATGAGCTTCTTTTTTCAGTGCTAGGGCTTCATGCAACCTATTCAAGTGCTTTACCCTTGAGCTACAATCCCAAGCTCCCTGCCCTCTAAATTCTCCGAGGAGCCTGCCTTACCCTTGGGCTGCTTAGAGGGCTGGAGGATAGGCCGGTGGAGGCGCCACTGACGCTGCGGGACCTGTTTCCGGGAGAGAGTTTTAAAAATCGGGAGGGCTTCAAAAGTCTTCAGGATGAGGAACCGGGGCCCAGAGAGGGGAAGCGACTCACCCCAAACAGTGCATCCGAGGTTGGGCAGGGACTGATGTTGTTCCTCCCTGCACTCCTGGGCACCAAGGACTCCCAAGGGTCGGGCACTCACCTTTGGCTGTGCTGGGCCATCTCCAAGGCCCGGCGGGTGGGCACCGGGGAGCCACCACCCCCAGCGTCCGTGATGCTCAGAACTTCCATGGACTTGCGCTCCGGCCGCCGTTTCCCGTGCCGGCTCAGCATGGGGGAGTCTACCCGCTTCCGAGGTGGGTCTAAGGGCCAGGAGTTCCACTTGGTTAGGGGACAATGTGCCCCATTGCACACGGAGCTACTCAGCTGCCTCACAGACTACACAGAGGGAAAACTGAGGCCCAGAGCAAGACAGGATTTGATGAATCCCCAGCTGGCTAATTCCGGGGTGAACCGGGCCAACCGTGCTGTTCTTCCTCTGCCCAGCATCCTGGGTCTAGGTTTCTCACCCACATCGTTCCGGGGAGGCAGGTCCTGGTCTTCACAGCTGGGATACCGCTCCTTCCGGTCCAAAAGCAGGTAATAGATCATCTTTTCTTGGTTCTCCCTGAGATGGGCACAGGGATCAGCTAAGTGAGGGCTAGCCAAAGGTCTCACCCCTCCTGGCGACTCAGCCTCTCTAGGCTTCAGGCCCACTCAGTAGCTCTGACTCAGGGATATTTTCTAGCTACCAGATGTTTAGTTTCTTATGGGTTAGAGCATTTCATGATTTTGCTTTACTCAATAAATGTGTCATACTTGGGTTCTTACTAAATACTCTATGTACTTCATGAGGAAGGTACTGTCCAAGCCTGCCTCAGCATCTCTGATGTGCGGTGGCCCAGGCCTGTAACTGTGGGAGGCTGAAGCAGGAGGATTCCAAATTCGACCCAGACTGAGCAACTTGGTGAGACTGCTTCAAAATAAATTAAAGAAGGGGTGGGAATTGGGTGTGGTAATGAATGCTTGTGATCTCAACACTGGGAAGCTGGGGCAGGAGGACTGCCAGTCGAGTTCTACTTGCAAATTCAGCAATTTAGAGTGACCCTGTTTCAAAATATAAAGGTGTACATGTATGTGTGCGTGTGTATGTGTGTATGTCCGTGTCTGTGCAAAGGCTTTGGGTTCAATCCCCATGACCTCCAGAAATAAAAAGAGCCGAGGATCCAGCTCAACGTAAAGATCCCTGGTCTAATCTTCAGTACGGGTGTGGGGTTGGGGACCATCTCTGCATTTTTTCCGGGTAGATCCCAACACACCCAAGAGGGATCTGGAAACCAGATCTCCTCGGCTATTTGGTCTAAGTGGGCGTGGGGCGTCCCCTGCCGGCGAGTGTGGGAGCTGCGGTGCAGAGGCCTCCCTGTGCCGATGGGGTGGTGTGTGTGCCAGGACTGGGCTGGAGTTGGGGACCCGGGTCTTACTCCTCACTGCGCAGCTCACGGTGCAGCCTCTCTCGATCTCTGAAGCAGCCCAGCGATGCCATGCTCTCCAGGACATCAGGATCCAGCTCTCCATTGGAAGGCAGGCTCCGCATGGCTACCCTGCGGCCGGGGGCTGGCTCCAAACAGGGGTCCGGCTCATGCTTTCCGCCCCTGGAGTGGGGATGATAGTTCATCCAGATTCGGGGTCTTGGGCCCAGCCGGCTCCCTCAGACTTGGGGTCTAGGTCCAGCCTCCTTCCCCAGGACACGGAAGCCAAGCCCCCAGGGCGTTGCCTTGCAGGAACCCAGGCATCCTCCCTTGGCTTCTTTCTACCTCTTCCTCCCCTAGGAACCCAAAAGTCCAAGTGCCCCTTACTCACAGGTACCAAGGATGTTTCTGAATTTGCTCCAGCTGTGGGGAGGGTGTAGAGAAGCAGAAATGAGGCTATACACACATCATAGGCACGCTATTAGACTTGATGGGGTGGGCTCACCTTTGGGAGTTCCCTAGCCATCAGTTTCTCCCTCAAAAAGCAGGATAAATGAGCAACGCCCTCTCGTGGTCCCACCATTCAGGACCCGAGGCAATAACTTCTCGCAGGCGCAGTGGCGGGGTGGAGGGTGGCGGTAAAGGGGGAGTTGCGCATGCGCCCCTTCACTCCTAGGCCTTCCGGGTTCAATCTGGTGCTGTTTTGGAGCAGCAGGTTTGGGAGGACCTGGGCCTGCTGCTCATCAGAGGACTGGAACTGAAATCCCTCCCCAGCCCTCCCCTGAGGGCTCTTTCCTCACCTCCTACAGCGGCCTCTGCCAGTCCCCTCAACTCACACTGAGCCTCTTTTCGGGCTCCACCTCGATCATCCCGCGCAGTAGGCTCTGGCAGTCAGGAGGGATAAAGTGGGGCATGTGGAAGACGCCCCGCTTCACCTTCTCCAGCAGTTGGCGGAGGTTGTCGTCATCAAAGGGCAGAGCCCCCTGTGTGCACAAAAAGTAGCCAGACCTCTTGACTCAGCTGGGGTTAGATTCCGGCCTCTCGTCCCCTTTTACTAGGTGGGGAAACTGAAGCACAGAGAGGCCCTGCAGTTTTTTTTTCTCTTGTGGTATTGTGGCTTGAACCCAGGGTGACCTACTGTGAGCTATATCCTAATGTCCTAGCCCTGTTTTATTTTTACTTTGGAGACAAGGGCTTGCTAAGTGGCTCAGACTGGGTTTAAACTCAGCCTCCGCCTCAGCCTCCCAGAGTGCTGGGGTTATAGTCGTGGGCCACCGTACCCAGTGAAGTCCAGTAGTTTGCCCAGCCGCCTGGCAGAAGCACCAGGGGAGGGGCTGACCCTTGTTGATTCCACAGGAAGGTGTGTACCACTGGGTTTGCACACCTCAGGGGTGTCAGGTGGGCTGCAGAGAACAGCAGAGCCCGAGTGTGTCAAGCCCTAGGTTGGGGCAGTGTCCTCCTCAGCGAGAGGACACTGCATCGGAGGCAGTCATGTGATGATGGAGGCAGAGTCTGGAGCATGCAGCTGCAGGCAGGAGCCACAGGCAGAGACAGGGGGACAGAGACCAGGGCCCAGATGGTAATGTCTGACTCTGGCCATGTGGCTGCGGTGTCTCGTCTCAGACCAGCAGGTGCCCTGCTCTGCTGATGATGGCTGCGTGGCCCTGGCAGGTCACAGCACTTCTCTGGAAACAAAAACGGTAGTGATGCCCCCTTGATAGCCCCGTGGCAGAGTGGGCTGGCGTGGTGCAGGCGGCCTCTGGGGGAGCGCTGCATGCCTGTGCCACTGTATGCATTCAGCAATCGACCACACCCACGCTGTGCAAATCACCTGAGATCTGAGGCTTGTGGACAGGAAGCCTGACTTTGACTCTAGAGCCTGAGGCTCCATTTCCTCTCCTCAAATGGACATAAGAAGTTAGGTGTGGTGGTACACTCAGGGAGGCTGAGGCAGGGGAGTCAAAAAACTTGAGCCCAGCCTGGACACATTAATAAGACTTTATCTCAAAATAAATACCACAGAAGGGCTGGGGATGTGGCTCAGCGCAGAAGCCCTGGGTTCATTTCCTGAGAGTTCTTCCAAGGGCTTAGCATGCCACATCTGCTCTAAGCCCCCACACTGTAGGTACTACAGAAAAACCTGAGGAGATGAGGAAACTGAGGCCCGAATGGAGGAGGTGACTGGCTGACCCACGGTGAGTGAGCAGAGACCTGACCCAGCCTTTTCATGGTGACCACAGAAGGCCAAGGTCAGGATGACCTCAACTGACTCCACCATGGGCTCTGAGCCCAGGAAGGCAATGCCCACCTGGCTGCCTCTTTCTCCTCATGCCAGTCACTTGGCCCAGCACTTAAGAGAGCCAAGGTTGAGCTGGCTGTGGCGATGCACACCTGTGATCCCTATACTCTGGGAGGCTGAGGCAGGAGGATCCAGCCTGGACTACAGAGTGAGATCAAGGCCAGCCTGAACTATACAGCAAGACCCTGTCTTAAAAACCAGAACAACAACAACTGGGAGAGCCAATCCTAGAGGTGACGGGGTTCCCTCTGTGCTCCCCATCAACCGGGCAAGGGGGGACCTACCACAAGCAGGGCGAAGAGGATGACCCCGCAGCTCCACATGTCTGCTCGGCGGCCATCGTACTTTTCCCCCTAGAAGGACCAGGACCATGGCGAGGGCGGCTCGGCCAGCTGCCTCCGCCTACCTGCCCGGGGCTCCTGGCCCACTCACCTTGATCACCTCTGGACATGCGTAGTGGGGAGACCTGAGGGAGACACAGCACGTGAGCTGCAGCCACGCCCCCACCCCGCCCCGCGCTGGCTGCACTCACCCGCAACTGGTCTCCAGGAGGCTGTCCCCCACCTGCAGGGACGCCATGCCGAAGTCCGCAATGCGGATGTTGTTCTTCTCGTCCAGCAGCAGGTTCTCGGGCTTCAGGTCCCTGTGGCTGAGATGGGCAGGCGGGGTCAGCTCAGCCACCGGGGCTGGGACCCTCCCTGCGGGTTGGGGCACTGAGGAGGAGGCAGGGCTTTTTTGGTGGTACTAGAGATTGAACCTAGGGCTTTTAGTTTTTTTTTCTCTCTCTTTTCTTTTTTTTCGTTGGAGTCTCACTATGCAGTTTGGGCTGGCCTTGAGCTCACTTTGTAGCCCAGGTTGGTCTTGAACTTGCAGCAATCCTCCTGCCTTAGCCTCCCAAGTGCTGGGGTTATAGGCGCGCATCACCACGCCTGGCTGAACCTAGGACTTTTATACCGAGCTACATCTCCAGTCCTCTTTTTATTTATCTTTCATTTTGAGACAAGGTCTCACTAAGTTACTAAGTGGCCCAGGCTAGACTTGAATTTATGATTCACCTGCCTCAGCCACCCAGAGTACTGGGACGAGAGGGGAGCACAACTGTGCCCTGGCTAAAATAGAATCTTTTGAGGTCTGCAGAACTAATATGAACTGTTTTTAATAAATATCAAAATATTTCCAAAGGACCAGAGATTTAGCTCAACAGTGGAAGTGTCTGGCCGGCATGCACGAGATGATGAATTTGACCCCTAGTACCAAAAAAAAAAAAAAAAAAAGTTTCCATACTATGTATTGAATATACTAATAAAAAATTGAAAAAAAGAATAATGTTATCATAAAATCATTTTCCAGTTACATACATACAAATGTGTGTATATATATAATATATATATAATAAATATATAATACATATAATATATATTATATATATATATATAATATATATATAATTTTGGGGGGGGTACTGAAAATCAAACTTACAACCTCACGCCTGCCAGCCCCGCACTTTTGCTGCTGAGCTAAATCTCTGGCCCAATATATATATTTTTGATACAAGGGCTCACTGCATTCAGGCTGGTCTTAAAACAAACTTGCAAGGATCCTTCTCTCTCAGCTTCCTGAGTGCTGGGATTATAGGCACGCACCACCATGCTGGGTTTTCCTTGTTTTGTTTTACACAAGACTTTACAAAATACAACAGCCATTTCTGGGCTGGGCATAGTGGTGCAGGCCTATAGTCCCAGCATTCAGGAGGCTGAGGAAGGATAGCCACTAGTTCGAGGCCAGCCTGGGCTACATAGCAAGACCCTGTCCCAAACCAAAACCAAAGCAGAACAAAACGCACCAAAATAAAAACAAACTCTGGCTGGGGAAGCAACTCGGTGATAGAAGGCTTGCCAAGCACACGCAAGGCTCTGGGTTACATCCTCAGCACCGCCCCTCATCCCCGCCCCCACCCCCGCACCCCCCAAAAAAACCCCTAAGGCCAAGGCCTGGGCGGAGGTGGCGCTGCGGACTAACTGGTGTGGTCGGTAACTGGATCACGCTGAGCATTAAATGTTGCATAGCGCTCCAGTGCCCCCTAGAGGCCAGAGGTCAAAGTCAGGGTTATGACAAGGTCTTGTCAATGAGGAGGTGTTGAAAATTTGAAGGCCCTGCTTTTCAACGCCAAGATTCACCTCGTGGGCGCACGCGGGGCTGGGGGGGTTCCTCCCATCTGATCCCCATCCGGACTCTTTAACACGCGGCCCAGACGCAGACGCATGCGCACCCAGGTGGTGACGCCGGGAAAGCCGTTTTGCACTTCAGGTAATCATAAAAATGCTCCCCAATAAACACCCAGTTTGGGGGGCCGAGGCAAAGCAATCAGGAAAAGATAATATCTCCACATGTACACTCAGACGACAAAAAATAAGCTCCAACGAGTGCACCACATGTCTAGTAGCTCCAAATGCAGCCAAGCGGAGCCAGGCACAAGCACTCAGCCTACCTAATTTGTAGAAACTTCTAGCATCAGTGGCTTGGAGAGGCCTGGGGTCTGGCAAAGATTTTTTAAAAAGGGTAGGAAAAAACATGAAGTGCAACAGCAAAACAAACAACTTGAGTTCACCAAATATTAAAAATATTGCTTTTTTCAAGACATTGCTGTAAAAATGTAAAAAACGTATCTAGACTGGGAGATGTTCCAAGAATAGAGGATTCTAAAGAGTTACTCCTGGAGTCAAGCTTCTTCTCAGATTAAACAACTGTTACAAGTCCATTGTAAATAGACCATTTTTTCTGTTTGTTTTTTGAGACAGTGTCTCATTAGGTAGTTCAAACTGGCCTTGAACTCACAGTGACCCTCCTGCCTCAGCTTCCCAAGAGCTGGGATTACAGGCATGCATCACCACAGCTGGGTTGATAAAAATTTTTAAAAATAACTCAAAAATGAGCAAAGAATCTGAAGAGGCATTTTCCCAAAGAAGATATACAAATGACCAGTGAACATGTAGTAAGATGCCCTACGCCACAAATCATTGCTCCTGTGGGGCAAACTGAAGCCACTTAGGAAACCAGTCAGGTAGCCCCTCTTAAGGTCTGAGACAGTCTAGTGACCCTAGAATCCAGCGGCAATACCCCTAGGCACGTAGTCAAGAGACTGAACAGAGAGGTACATGCAAACATGTACACACCAGAGTTCATAAGACAGGAAGAGGGAACAAAAAACTCCATCAATGGATGAATGAATAAGGAAATTCCGCACAGTCGAACATTATCCAGCCGCGACCAGGCCCGGAGCACTGCCACATGCTAGAGGAGGGGACAGCGTGAAGGGCATTCTGCTAAGCAGAAAGAGCCAGACAGGAATGCCCCACACTTGTAGGATTCTACTTCTAAGAAATGTTCGCAACAGGAAACCCATCAGATACACGCAGATGCATGGCCGCCAGGGTTGGGGAGCAGAGAGGAATGGGGGATGAGTGTTTAAGGGGTACAAAGTGGTAAAAGGGGTACACTGTTCTAAAAGTGCACAGCAGTGATGTGCAATGCTGCCAATACATGGAAAAAAAAGTTGAACTGTACACTTTAAACCCCTGCCATCTACCACTTAGGAAGCTGTGGCAGGAGGACTGTAACTTTAAACCCAGGTTAGGCAATTCAGCAACTTAAGGAGATTCTGTCTCAAAACTGAAGATGAAAAGTGAGGGGGGGGGGAACACTTAGGATGTAGCTCAGTGCAAAGGCCCTGGGTTCAATGCTCAGGACCTCAAAAATAAATAATAAAATAAGAAGGGTGATTTGTATGTTTTGAGTCATTACCTCAAGAATTAAGATCAAACACAAAGGTTAGTTCTGGTGCCAACCCCACTGCCCGCCCATCGCACTGCCCCTCACCAGATGGAGTAGCTGTGGCAGAAGTCCAGGGCTGACACGATCTGGCGGAAGAACTTCCGGGCCTCCTTGGGCGTCAGTCTGCCCTTCTTCACTAGGTAGTCGAAGAGCTCCCCGCCAGAGACGTGTTCCAGGACCAGATACCTGCAGGGCACGAGGGTGCAGAGGGCTGGAAGGGGCACATGGAGGGCCGGAGGGCTTGGGCTCCCTCTGCTCTAGGCCCTCTGAGGCATGGCGATTCCTGTGGATTCTGGGAGAAGGTGACTCAATTTCCCCCAGTGTCTACAAAGCCAAGACTCAAATCCGTTAGCCCTGGGCAGTAGACACCCCTGTGTCAACCTCAAGAGGACTGCCTGCCGGTTATTCAGGGAGATCAGGCAACTCCACTGGCTTCTAATTCTCATGAGTCCCAGATGAAGAAACCCAAATTCTCATTCATTCTTGGGCAGTAATAAATGCAATGTGCACCAATGGGAGATGACAACTCCCTTTAGCCCTAAATTAGCAAAAACTCCTAGCTCTTGCTGGGTGTGGCATTGTACACCTGTAATCCCCGCACTAGGAAGGCTAGGGCAGGAGGGTTGCTGCAAATTTGAGGACATCCTGGGTTACGTAGTGAGTTCAAGAGCAGTCAGAACTACATGGTGAGACCTTGTCTCAAAACTACAACAACCTAGTTCCCCCATAACCTTCTGGGACATAAGAGTCCCAATTCCCATCAGCCACCTGGATCCTAAAGACTTCAAATCCCATTAGGGTCTGGGAGGTTCATATAAATCCCCATCAGCCCATGGAAAACAAAAGCTCCACCTCAGTAAGCTCTTCAATAGCAAAAATCCCCATAGGAAGCACAAATTCTCATGAGTCTTCCCTCCCAACTATGGTAGTGGAGTGATGACAATTTTACTTATTGAGACAATGGCCCCTTCCCAAGTCCATACCTGGGGAAGTCTGAGAAGTACAGTTCTCATGAGCACCTAGCACTGGAGCAACTAGCACCAGCTTCCTGCCTGGAGAAACCTACCCAAGCATCTGATGGCTGTGGAAGTTGATTCATTTTGGGGACTGGGTGGAGGACAGAAGGTCTGTCCCCTCTCCTGCTGCCTAGCCTAGCTGTCCTTTGGGCTACCAGGCTGGACAAAGGTCCATTCTCTGAAGCTCGGACAGCTGGACCCTGCCTTCCTTCTTCCTGGGGGTTCACTGACTTTGAGATACTGGCTCAGAACCCTAAGGAGGCCCATGGCTGGGGTGTCCAGCCGAGGCACCTGGAGTGATCCAGGGGAGGACAGGGGTCCTCCGATGGAAAGACCCTTTGAGCTCTGCTAGGCCTCATGCCTTGGTAGACTGGCTTTGGCTGAGGGCATCCAGAGTATCCAGGAGGAAGTGTTCCCCGAAGCATATTGGGGAGTTAGGGCTGGGGAGTCAGTGGAAGGTTCAGTCTCGGTTCCCACTCTGGATGGCCTGGGCCTGCTGTCCTGCTGCTAACAGGAGGCTGAGTTAGCACAGCAGCCAGAGGCTGCGTGTGTGACTGTGGGGAGCTCAGAGCACAGGTCTCCCCTAGTCATTGGGAAGGGACACGAGGTAGGAGGGCTGGGCATCTATAAATACCTACAAATATTTCTTGTTTTCATAGACATCGTGGAGCTTGAGCACGTGCGGGTGTTCGATGAGCTTCAGGATGGCAATCTCCCGCTCCACCTGAGGGTGCAGTGGAGCGGCACAAGTTCAGTGCTTGGGGCTCCTCACCCACCCTGCCCTCAGCCTGAAGGAAGGACCCCCACCACGGGCCCAGCACACACACCTTCATCAGCACCGACTCAGATAGCTTCTCCCGGTTCACAATCTTGATGGCAACCTTCTGACCCGTGATGCAGTGGACCCCAAGTTTAACCAGCCCTGGGGGAGTGGGTGGGTGGAAAATGTGGGGTGCTCTCCAGGAGCACCTCCCTCCCCAGCAGTGAAGTGCCTGGGGCCACCCTGATTCCATCTCTCTCCCCTGAAGGCTGCCTAACTGTGATCTCAGGCAGCCACAAACTCCATCCCTGTTTGCCCAGCGCCTCCACTGCAGCCTCCCCAAGTCCCTGTGCCCTCCTAGGGCTTGCAGGCCTAGCTTTCCTCTCCCCACCTCTCCACAGCCCCTCTGCTCCCCAGTCTCCCCAGTCCGCCCTTCAGCCCATCACTTCCTTGAGTGAACAAATCAGCTCGTGTCTCCCGACCTTTAACAGCAGTTGTAGTAGGAAGCTGCAGTTGCCCAGGGCACTGGGTCCCAGCCCAGCCTCTCAGGAGCCCCAGCTCCAAGACAGCGGTCCCGAGAGTCACAGTCCCACTGACCCGGGGGCCCCGGCGCTCCCTTGCACGCAGGGTCCAGGTTCTTGACCCTTTCTCCCCCCTCCCCCAGCAGGAATCAGGTCATCAATACCCTCCCGCTCTTGTGGGGATCTGGGCCCTGAGCTCGGGTCCTTGACCTCAGCTTGGCAGGGACCCTGGCCCTCAGGTGCCGGCTCAGGCTCCTCATGCCCGCGTGCCTGGGCCCGCAGAAGGCTGTGGGCAGCAACCTCTCTGCGCCGCGGAGGCTGCGGCCCTAGCCCGCCCGGTGCATGCCGAGCTCCGTGCAGCAGCCGCCGCCAGTCACTCCTCCTTGGCCCGGGGGCAGAGGGTGGCCAGGCCCTGCGGCCCCTCTGCCCGGCCTAGCCCCTGCCGCACCGCAGCGTCACGCCACCTCCCCATTGCCGTCCCCATCGGACAGGGACAGGCGCCCGCGCCCCGGGGTGGCCAGCGCCCCCACACCCGGGAGCCCGCGGCCTCTCCTCTCACGCCGGGTTGCAGACCGGCGCCCCCGCCTCAGCCTGGGCTGCCCCCCCCCCCCGCCCCGCGTCCCCGCCTCCTGAGCCCGCTCACCTGTCTGCCCCTTGCCCAGCGTCTTCTCCAGCCGGTAGGGGCCCACATATTGGGCGTGCTGCGGGGGGTGCGCGTGGGGGTGCGGGAGATGGTAGGCAGGGGAGCCCCCGCCGCTCTCCTTGGCCCCGGACGACATGGTGCCCTTGGTCCCAGCCCGCCCGGCGCCCCGGCCGGCCCCCCTACGGCCAGGCGCCCCGTTCCTCCGGTGGGGGCCGGCGACAGGCCCGTCCCGGCCCCCCCGGCTGCTCCCCACCTCTCCGGGGGTCCCCAGGGGGACTCACTGGGCCCCCCGGCGGCGGGCCGCGGAGCTGGGGGAGGGGGGGCTGTCCCGGGGGGGGGTCAGGCCCCGGGAGTCAGCATGGCCCAGGGGGGCTGCGCGGGCCCCCCCTCCCCAGCCCGTCCCTGGCCGGACCCCCCCTTCCTGCGCCTCCCCCGGCGGGGGGGTGGTCTGAGCTGCAGGCCGGCGGATGCTGCAGGCCAAGGTCCCCCGCCCCCCCACGCACCCTCTCTCCTCCGCCTCCTCCTCCTCTCCTCCTCCCCCCCGCCACCTCGTCCTTTCTCTTCGGCACGCTGACATCACCATCCGGGGACTCCGGGCCCTTCCCCAAAGTTAACCCTTTCAGAGGGGGAGGGGGAGGGGGCACCAGGAGCGGGGCCCAGGAGGGGCGGTGCTAGGAACTGGAGGGGTGGAGAGATGCTAGGAAGACGCTGGGAGGATGCGGGAGAGGTGGTGGAGGATGGTGGGGAGCAGGGCAAGAGAGGGATGCAGGAGGAGGAAGGGAGGGTGCAGGGAAGACGGGTGCAGGAGGAGGGAGGGATGCAGGGGGAAGGAAGGGTGTAGGGAAGAGAGGAGGGAGGGTGCAGGGCAAGGAGGGGTGCAGGGAGAGGGAGAGGGCAGAACACAGGGCAGGCTGGAGCCTACTGATGGGCAGAGGTGATGGAGGGGCACTGCACCATGGAGTCCAGTTCCTCAGGCTCAGGGCTGCATGGCTGTATGAGAGACATCAAGTGTGTGTCATGAGCTTGGGAAAAGAGCAAAGTCCAAGACTCAAAAGTAGGGGTTTCTACTGAGTGTGTGCAATTTTTTGCACCATCACTAAGTCAGATTGCCAGTTCAGTCCCTGCTCTTCAGAAGCCACATGGGTTAGTAAAGAGTAGGGGTTCCTCGGTTAGATTTCTTGGATTCTCACTCAGTGCTCTCTGTTAACTGCCCTATAGTTAAAAAGTTAGTTTTCCCAAGCTCCAGTTTCATCAGAAAAAAGTGTATAATACTCTGTACCTTACATAGTACATAGTGTGTGCGCGTGCATGTGTGTATACAAACACACACATACATTTTCTCTTTCTCTTACTTATAATGGTAGCTTACTGTATACCGTCTTATGTTCTATAGTTTGGAATCTAACGCTACATCTTGGAGAGCTTTCCAAGTTCCCTCTTTCTTTTTAATGTCTGCCTATTTTTTCTCTTTGTTTTCTTTCTTTTTGGTCTTTTTGTGACAGTATCTCACTAAGCAGTGCAGGCTGGCCTTGAGCTTACTTTGTAGCCCAGGCTGGTCTCAAACTCACAGTGATCCTCTTACCTCAGCGTCCCCAGTGCTGGGATTACAGGCGTGCACCACCATGCCCAGTTGTCTGCCTATTTTTCCATTGTGTAGCTAGAGATACTGTACTATGTAGTACTAGCCACTTATAGGTATGTATTTACATCATTTTCAATCTTTTACTATTACAAGGATTATATTTTTAATTTATATATAATTCCACAGATGTGTAGATATAATTATATGATAAATTTCCAGAAGTGAAATTACCAGGCTAAAAGTAATATGTTTTTAATATCTTAATAAATTTCTAAATAATTTAAGCCAGGTGCATGCCTGTAATCCCAGCACTTGGGAGGCTGAGGCAGGAGGATTGCTATGAATTTGAGACCATCCTGGGCTACAAAGGGAGCTTAACCACAGGCCAGTCTGAACCACATAGTGAGACTCTGTCTCAAAAAGACCAAAAAAAAAAAAAAAAAATCTAATTAATTTGAGCAATATGAAAGACAATAGGATACAGAAAGGGAGACTGTGGAATGGGATGCAGATCTGGCAGTCACAGCCGGGCAGAGATGGGAGCAGAAGAACATGGCACAGCAGGAGAGAGATGCTGAGAGGGACAGAGGCAGTGCAGTGCAGTGGAGGTAGGCTGGAAGGGGGGGGTACAATCTTGCTGAGGACTTAGAGGAAAACTGGGGGCATGTTGTCCAGGTGGAGGCAAAGAAGGGAAGATTTTGGACTTGCTGGCCCAGATTCACCTCTTTGTCCACATCCCCCAAGCTCACCCACTCTGGGCTCCTCGGGCAAGGTTTGTGTCCCCGTCAGCACCAGGGCCCAGGGGTGTGGGAGTCTCTTGCACACACCTCCAGGGTTCCCCGAGAGCCAGTCTATTCCTCTACACCCTTATGTGCTCAGTGCTTCTGAACAGGCCCTGAAATCTTTGTGCAGGCGCTGGTATAATCCACGGGTCCCCAAGGGTTCACATGTGCTGAGCCATGGGTAACCCTTGGGCCCCCACTAGATTCGCACATAGGTTGTAGGTACAAGCTCCTCTCTGCCAGGGCCCAAAGGTGGTCGGCACCTCTGTAATCCCTAGCCCCTGTGGAGCGTACCCCATGAGCCTTGGCTTCTTGATCTGTCCACGTCTATCCAACCACACTCATCACAGGACTCTGTTTATTGGCAATGTCAGGAATTGAACCCAGGGCATTGCACATGATAGGTAAGTGTTCTATCACTAAGCCACTTTTGTTTTTTCTTGCTGAATTGCCCAGGCTGGCCTCAAACTTATGACCCTCCTGCCTCAGCCTCTCAAGTGCCTGGGATTGCAGACATGAGCTACCATGCCTGGCTTGTGTGATTATTAATGGAACTGCCTTTTGCTCTGAATGTCTCACTGCAGATGAGAAGTTTTACAGTCACACTTTTTACAAGTCATTGTAAAGTTGACAGCTTTTTTTGGTTTCTATCAAGGATGAACTCACAATCTTGTGTTTGCCAGGCAGCCTCTGTGCCACTGAGCTATATCCCCAGCCCTGGTTGATGGCTTTTCCAAGGTACATGGGTGAGTTCATCAAGGCCACCAGTGTATTATTTATGTATTCACATATAAGAAATGTATCATACAATGGCACATTGTATCACACAATGAGAAACATAATTACATAGATTGTAGCAGATGCCCATGTTCTAATTTCCCAGATTTTGTTAACTTGATTACAGGCCCTGAGATGGGAGACCAGCCTGATTTCCGGGTAGGCCCAAGTCTTTTAAGACCCTTTCAAGAGGCTCAGAGGGATCAGAGTCACAGTCCCGGGCAGGGATATAGCTCAGCGGCACAAATGCCTGCCTGGCAAGTGCAAGGTCCTTAGTTCAATTCCCGGCACCAAAAAAACCAAAAACAAACAGTCACAGTGACAGACGGAGGTGAGGAGATGAAGCAGAGGTCAGCGATGTGGCTGCAAGCTGAGGAATCAGAGTGGCTTGTGACAGCTGTAAAAGGCAGAGAAAACCCTGATGGCGAGGTGTTGCCCAGGGACAACTACTTAGGACTTCTTTCTCCAGCACGGCAAGATAATAAATGTGTGTTGTTGTAAGCTGCGGCGTTTTGGTAGTTCCTTAACAGCAGCAACAGGAAATGAATGGCAGCGTTCCCACTGCCCCCCCCCCTTTCCACAGCACCCCGGTCCCGGGCCCACCCTGTGCAAGCCGTGACCTGCACAGCCAGGGCCACGCGGTGCTCCGTGCCTCCTTGACGGCCCTATCCCCTCCACATTCAGAACTGCTTTTCTCCGTCTACCTGGGGTATCCCAGCAGTCTTGGACTTGTGGTGCTCTGAGCCCCGACTCAGGCTCTGCTCTTCCTGGCTTCGGCCTCCAAAATCGCCCCCTCTCCGCCCGGAGCCAAGGAAGAATACATAGGAAACGACTCCACTATAGCGCCATATAACGAATGGTGAAACTGAGGCCGGGAGCGAGGTGGAGCTGGGCCTAAAACAGCATAGGTCAGCCGTTGAGTGAGGCGTCAGGGCTCCACATAAAGTAGAAGTCAAGGTAGATACTACGAAGACGCGCCCAATCTGCTAGAAAGCAGGAACTAGCCAGACCTGAAGCACCAAAGGGGGTGTGGCCTGGGAGGGGCGCGGCTTCTTGGAAGGCGGGACTTAACTGGGAGAGGTCGAAAGGCCTAGAACAGGGGCGGAGACTAGAAGGTGTGAATGGGCTCTCCGCGGGGGCAGGGGGTGGAGCCTGCAAGAAGAACAGGGAGGCTGGGCTCGCTAAGGTGAGCAAACCCAGCCGGAGGGGCGGGACCTAGACCAGGACTTTGAGTGTGAGGGGCGGGGCAAATGGAGGTGGGGCCTGCGTGGGAGTGCGGGCTACCGCCGGAAAGAAGGTTTTAAAAGGGGACTGCTGCTTCAGCGTAATTACCATGCGAAGTTGGGGGAGGAGTGAGTCAGGGACTTCCGGGAGAGGTTGTACGCATTTCCGGTCAAGATGGCGACGCCCAGCGCAGTCAGGTGCTAGAGATCCTGTTTCTAGGTGGGAAGGCATCTCGGAGCCCCGGAAGGTGAGATCAGCCTCTTTGAGGCGCTCCTCTTCGGAGAGGAGGCAGCGGACTTGTTGTTAAGGAGATAGAAGGGCGGATTTATTTCAAAGGAGGCGGGGCAGTCGGGTTGCTAAGAAACGGAGACGCACTCTGTGGGGATGGGGAGAGGGCTTATTGCCAGGGAAAGTGGGTGGAGCCTGTTCCTAGGGCGGAAGATGGATCTATGGCTTTGGAGAAGAGTCCTGTTGGTACAGGGGAAAGAATGAGGGCTGTGTTTAAGAGGGGGTGCGGGAAGAATACTTTGGGGTCATGGCGGGTACAGAGCTTCCTTAAAACGCCACCTTCTCAGCAGAGCCCCAGGAGCTGACCCATCAGGACGCCACAGCTGCCTCAGCGTTGACCACCTTCCCCTGTCTACCCCTCAACACGTTCTTCCCTTCACAACCTATCCATGGCAGACAAAGGCTCGGGGGGGAGTCGCCTCCCCCTGGCGCTGCCCCCAGCCTCCCAGGGTTGCTCCTCGGGAGGCAGCAGCGGCTCCTCGGCCGAGAACTCTGGCAACCCCCGGCCCCCACGCAACCTGCAAGGCCTGCTGCAGATGGCCATCACGGCAGGCTCGGTGGAGCCAGACCCCCCTCCAGAACCTATGAGTGAGGAGGTAAATAAAGTATGGAGATCAAGAAGCAGGGCTGAGGGGCTTGGGGACAGAGCTGTCTTGGAAAGTGTGGCTTGAGACTGGGGCCTGGTGGGCGGAGCCCAGATGTGGAGGGGGGCTAGGCTGTATTTGTGCTGGATGGGAGCTCATTAAAGACTAAAGGTCAAGTCTCAGGTGTCTAAGGGTACAGATTCCTGGATCCTAGCACTATTCTGGAAGGCAGAAGAGTCTTGTGGTTTAAAAAAATAAAGTAAAAAAAGCTCTCCATAGCTGGATTCAGCAATATCAGCAGTGTGACCTTGGTGTTTTAATTCATCAGAACCACAAATTCTTCATTCATCTGCAAAAGGATCAGGATAAGAATAGTGATGGCAGTATTTCATGGGGTGCTTCTGAGGTTCTAGTTCAGCAGGGCTGCACACGTAGGGTACACATATCTGTTTGACTTTAGGCTTTGCCAATTGCTGACTCTGATCTTGCTTTGGGCAGGAGCACAACTTTTCCGTGCCTGTTTTTTTATCTGTGAACAATGAGCCCTTTTGAAGGCTGATAGCAAACTTTATTATATAGAGTTTTGTGGTGGTGGTATTAGGGATCGAACCCAACAAGACTCCTACCACTGAGCTCCACTTTCCCTTTTTGTTTTATCTGTTGAGACAAGGTCTCCCCAGTAGCTGGAATACAGGTGCATACCACCACTTCCAGTTCCCCACATATGTATTTCTTTACTCACATGTCCCTCAAACACCATGAAGTCCTGCAGCCCACCTCAGTTGTCCCTGTCCTCCACTCTGGCTAACCTGTTCTTGTCCCTGTCATCTGCTCTCATTCCAGTACGGGAGCTCTCACCACACTGGGCTCGACTGGCTCAGGGCAGAGGTCCTAGTACCTAGAAGATGCTGAATAACAAAGGTGATCTGGAGATATTTTTTGGTGGAAAGAAGAGTGAGCCCTCACATCGGCTGTCATCATCATCACTGTGATTGTTTTTGTTTTGAGACGGGTCAAGTGTGGTTCAGATGGGCCTTGAACTCATTCTGTAGCCTAGGCTGGCCTCAAACTCTCTGTGACCCTCTTGCCTCGGCCTCCTGAGTGCTGGGATGATAGGTGTGCCTTACCATGCTATAGCTGTCATTTATTATTCATTAATGAATTATTGTTGCCTACCTTCTTTCCCACCCTCATCCCCAGAGGCGGCAGTGGCTGCAGGAAGCCATGTCGGCTGCCTTCCGGGGCCAGCGGGAGGAGGTGGAGCAGATGAAGAGCTGCCTCCGGGTGCTGTCCCAGCCCACACCTGCTGCGGCCGGGGAGACCGAATTGGCTGCTGACCAGCAGGAGCGAGAGGGGGCCCTGGAACTGCTGGCTGACCTGTGTGAGAACATGGACAATGCCGCAGGTATTCCCTGGTCCCGTCCCCTCTGTTCTCTTAAGGACATTTCCAGCCCTCCCAGCCTCCAACCTGTCCCATGTTGCCACCAGAACCAAGGCCCTTGAACCCATGATGATCCCTGTGGTCTACCCCTTCCCAGTGAGCCTTGGCTGATCATTTCCCCCTTAGGCCACCGGCATTCTATGCCATTCCCTGGTGTATGAAGGCAGAGGTGGCCAGGGAGGGTCTCCTGAGGGGCAAGGAGTGGCACTTGATTAGAGACCTGGGGTGGAGGTGGAGTTGTGAGATCCTCTCAAGAGCACACTTTGCCGCATCAGGAAGGGGCAGCATGGGGTCTCAAGGTGAAACAAATGGCAGGAAGGCCCTGGCAGCCCAGAGGAGCTTCCCAGGGATATAAAATGACAGAGAGCTCTGGAGACCACACTGTACAGAGGGACCCATGGGACCCCACTTCTACTGGGAGAGCAGGGGTCACTTCTGTGGTGCCCAGTCTGGACCAAGCTGCTGCTTCTCGTCCCCGGTTGCCTCCTGTTTCTGTGGGCAGTGAGGCTGAGATGTCAGGGCCTTGAGTATTTCCCCCTGCACAGCTCCAGAGGTGGGGCCGAGCATGCTCAGAGCCCGGGTTCCCTGGGGACTGGGTGCCCTCAGACTCTTCCAGTCCAGTTCTCCGCAGATTTCAGTTTTAGTTTACTTTTGCAGTATTGGAGAGTGAACCAGGCCTTTGCACAGAGCTCCTTCCACATGTCTTTCTACTTTTTATTCTCAGACAGGGTCTCTTATTTTTATTTTATTTTGTCTTTTTGAGACAGGGTCTCTCTATGCAGTTCAGGGTGGCCTTGAGCTCACTTTGTAGCCCAGGCTGGTCTTGAACTCACAACGATCCTCCTGCCTCAGCCTCCCAAATGCTGGGATTACAGGCGTGTGCTAGCACCCCAGGTTTATCATTTTTCTTAGCACAGTGCTGGTGAATATGGGGTTCGGGGACATGAGTCACCCCAGCTATGGTTTATTGAGGTAACCCTCCTGGAACATCGAGCTAACTGTTCCCGAGTGGACAGCCCTGTGGTATTTGGTTTATTCCCCCTATTTCTGTTTTTTTTTTTTTTGTCTTTTTCCTTTTTATCGGTACGGGGGATCGAACTCACGACTGCCTGCTAACAAGGCAGGCACTTATGCCGCTGAGCTAAGTCCCCAGCCCCTTTTATTCCCCCTATTGCACAGCCATTGCCTCTCATCTATGCCCAGAGCTCTGCTACCCTCCATGGGACCCTGTGCCCACTACCCCTTCTCCCCTCTACTCTTGGGGGCCTGGACATTAGGACAACAGCGGTCAGGGGGGTTGCAGCGGGGCAAAGCACAGCCCTGACCTCACCCCTCTCCCCATACATGCCTGGTGCAGATTTCTGCCAACTGTCCGGCATGCACCTGCTGGTGGGGCGCTACCTGGAGGCAGGCGCCTCGGGGCTGCGGTGGCGTGCGGCCCAGCTCATCGGCACGTGCAGTCAGAACGTGGCAGCCATCCAGGAGCAGGTGCTGGGCCTCGGCGCCCTGCGCAAGCTGCTTCGGCTCCTGGACCGCGACTCCTGCGACACAGTGCGCGTCAAGGCACTCTTTGCCATCTCCTGTGAGTGTCCCTGGGCCCGGGAGGGCTAGGCCAAGGGTGTCCCTACATTGGGTCCTGCCCTCATTCAGCCCTACATTTCTTGAGGGGCTCTGCGCCGGGCACTGGGTGTGGGGAGCTGGGAGTGAGGTGGGACAGTATGTCAGATGCTGCTGTGGTCTTGCCTCAGCACCCTGCCTATTGTTTCCCAAGACAGGGTCTCACTTTGTACTTCAGGCTGGCCTTGAACTCCTAGATAGCCCAAACTGGCTGAGAACTCATGGCAAGCCTCCTGCCTCAGCCTCCTGAGTGCTGGGATGATAGGCGTGCTCCACCATGCCTAACTTCTGGCTCTGTCCCTCTTAGGGCCAATTCCTTCTCAGCCTGGGACAGTCTAGGTCCTGTGAGATGCTGAGCTGTCCCTGGCCTCCACTCACTGTGGACCCTGTTGCACTGTCAGGATGACCAGAGATCACACATCAAAGCCCCTTGGTTGGAGCCGCCAGGGTTCTGTATGAATGTGCTTCTCCAACAGGCCTGGGGGAGGGTGACCGTTTTCATCATCTGCCTCTGGAGATGGAGCTAGGATAGAGACCTGGGTTGGTTGGGGCTGTATGGTGGCCTTCCCCCAACCCCCGTGCAGCCAGGAGCCAGTGTCCCTGAGTGCCTGTCCTGTCCTCACACGCACACTGAGGTCGGGACCATTATGTCCCCTCCACACAGTGGGTGCCAGGCTGGGAAGCTCCACCAGGACGCATAGAGTGGTGCCCTGAGCAACTTTTTCCCTCTTTTTTTTTTTTTTTTTTTTTTTGTCTTTTTGAGACAGGGTCTCTCTATGCAGTTCAGGCTGGCCTTGAGCTCACTTTGTAGCCCAGGCTGGTCTCAAACTCTTAGTGATCCTCCTGCCTGAGCCAC